ACTAGAGAAAAGGTTAGATCAAAAAGAATTAACCTATAAGGTAACACCCACGCACAGGAAATCAATGTGAGTCAATGCCCTGTATAGCTATCCTTATCTCAACCAGCAAAAACCCTTGTTCTTCCTATTATTGCTTATACTCGCTCTTCAACAAAATTAGAGATAAGGGCAAAATAGTTTCTGCCGGGTATCGAGGGGGTGGGGGGGAGAGAGAAGGGGTGAGGTGGGTGGTAAGGGAGGGGGTGGGGGCAGGGTGTAGAAATGACCCAAGCATTGTATGCACATATGAATAATAAAACAATAAAAAAAAAAGAAAGACCAGGCTATGGCCAAATAAGAGCAACATTAAGTTGAAACCATCGTAAGTTGATTCATGTGGGAGCCATGTAACCCACAGAAGACCCCAGCTTAGCCCAGCACACTGCAGTGTCAGGGTTCCCCTGTGATTGAGGGGCTATCTGGGAGCTGTGCCCAGTACAGCCAGAAAGGATCAGGCAGAGTGCCAGCCTGGTATAGACCCACATTCACAGCTCAAAGTCCACTTACCTCCATGCTCGGATCACTTCTGTACCATCACAAAATGGAAAAAATTGTTAAGTTAGAATTTTAAGTCAAGAACTGTCTGTCCTATCATTTCAGCATATAACCAATACAGGACATGATTGAGCTCTTTTGTGGGGGTTTTTTATAGTAAGCTTTTGAAATCCCACATTTTTCAGTGGGAACTTTCAGCCGTTTCAAGTGGTCATTAGCTACACGTGGTCAGTGTCCCCTGATGTGGACAGAGTGACTCTAGAGCAGAAACACCAACTATAGCCAGTGACCCAATCCACCCCTCCAGGATGTTTGTACAGTCCTGTGAGCTAAGACTATTTTTCACCAATTTCAATAGTTGGGAGGAAAAATAAAAACAAGAATACTTGTGACATGTGTAGACTATATGAAATTCAAATTTCTAAATTCACATTCTGCAATTCAGTTTTATTTACTGCGTTTTCCACTCTTGTTTGTTCACAGGTTGTCTCTATCTCTGCATTTAGTAGAATTTTAATAAACTAGATTTACATCATTCTACTCCATTCTTTTGTTTAGGCCATTTGTTATAATGTCCTAAGCAAGGAGCCATGAAGGATAGGCCTTAAGGAAAACCCCTTGGTCAGGATGGCCCTCTGTTGACTGTGACAGTTCCCGTCCTATTTCAGAAAGGAAGAAGGGTAGCCCCATGGAAGGAGCCTCTCTGCCACCTAGGTCTGTGCACTGTGTTCAAGCTGTGAGCTATTAACAAGACCCTCCTCCCCTGAGTTCAGTCCTCTGTGCCAGGCATGAACAGACACAAGCAGGCAGCATCCCTCTACATATGCACCAACCCAGTATCCTGAAGGAAGCATCCAATTGCTCAGGCCCCTCCACAGGTGAGCAGCCAGGTGGGTCTGAGCTCTAGAAGTACCCTCTCCCAGGGACATACCATCTTGCCATCAACCCTGGGGACACATGTGTATGATGCCAATACCAGGGTACAGAATCCCATGGTTCCCATAACAAATCCGAGGCTAAGGAGGCACCCAAGCCAGACTGTTTCTCACCAGGGAGAAGCAAGAAGAACCGGGGATCGGAGGAGACCATGTCTTAGACTTGGGCTCATGGAGGGGTAGCTGGGCTATAATGAAGATGTACTGACTGAACAGGCAAGTGGGCAAATCTTACTTGCTGCTCTTAGTTACATGTCCATCCCAGAACCTCTGCGAGCCTCAGTTTCCTCATTTGTAAAGAGGAAGTACTCCCTGATTGTGCAGGCTCAGAGTGGGGCTTTAGTGGAAGGAAGCACAGAAAATAGTTTCCTGGAACTAAGTACAAATATCCAGTCTTTCCATAGCTCCCAGATAGGTAGCGATGTGTGGATCTGGAGCAGAATGGTGTTAGGATCCAGTATGTGGGGTCATTGGTGTAAATTCTTAGAACAATACCGGGCATGGTCTAAGTGTTCTGTCTAGCATTTCCATTTTGTTATTATTACTTTTCTCAAGATAGGAAAATGTACCTGGTTCCTGAAGACATTTAAGGAAATGACTTCTAAAGAAACCTGAGGACTAGTAAAGAAATGTCACCTGATAAAAAATCACATACATCCAGGTTGCAAAAATAGAAGAATCAGGTGACTTGCCTCATGTCCTTGCAGAGATGTGAGCTCCAAATGCTCAGAAGCAGATAGCAGCTGCAGGACCCGTTCGTTCTGCATTGCCTTCATGGTCAGCTGCTGGACACATCTAGTGAATACAGAAGCAATTGGCTGTAAAATGAAGCTAGCGATCGTCAAGGTGATAGCTGGACCACTTGTGCCCACTCTGTTAGGCAGGTACCCACACTGCATGCTCCAGAGGCTGGCTGAGAGCTACAGCCAGAGTCACTGCAGGGATGGGACACCATAGCACACTGCCTGAGGACAGCTTTATTTATGTTCTTGCAGAATGTACAAGCAGGCCTTGTTTTTCTGGACCATTAGGAGCATGCCGGCTCACATAGCGTCCGTGAGTCTACATTTAGAATTGTGTCTTCATTCACATTCTTTCCACGCGGCTCATGGCTCCTGGACTGGAAGACAGTGATCACTTTGCCTGGGCCAGGCCCCAGGAACGATGCCAGCTCTGAGCTATGCAGACCCTAAGTTGTTGGTCGAGAGCCCAGCTCTGCGACTTGCCAGGGGTGGTCTGTGGCATGTGCTCACCATCACTGACGCAGGGTGGGATCAATAGCCTGGGGAATCCATGGCTGGAGGAAAAGGCATTTTCCAGGAGAAGTGAGCTAGCTGTGCTCAGGTTAGCTGAAAGGACCCCTGAGCCAAGCTCTGAGGGTCTTACAGGGACAACTGTGTGTAATCTCTCCTAATGTCATTGACAAAGCTGCCTGCCACTGCCCAGCCCCCTGAAGGTTCCCTGGTCATCCTTGCGATTTACTTTTCTCTTTTGATTACTTCAACTCTGCCATACAGCCCAGTTTGCCATTTCTAGGATCCTAAACCAGACATGAGGTCATGCTCTCCATCTGTGAGGAATTAAATGTAAGCTGGGGAGGAACAATACTGAAGAGAGAAGGAAAGCGAGTTAGGAAAGTCAAGAGCCTGCCGAATGCTTCAGCTCACATTACCTATGCCCCACAGAGAACTCCTGCATGAAAAGAGACAGTAACACAGTGTTTCCTAACAACAGGGACAAAATGATATGAGTCAAACCCAGATGATCTTCAAACTGACTATAAATTTGTTTCCATGTGGAATAAATAGGGGAAAAACTGACATATCAAATCTATGGTATCTCAGGCACTGTTGTTTACCCTTGAACTCTGTTCCAAAACAGTGAGTTGATTTAAATTTTCTTAAAAGGAAAACAGTCAGCAAATGATAGTGCAGCTGATTAAGGATATGTGGGCAATGCCTACTATTTGAGAAGCTTTGCAATATCCCAGCCTATTTGTGCATTTGATCTTCAGCTCCACAGCTTAGAGGTTAATGAGCTGAGGCTCTGAGAGGTGGAGTGATTGGCTGGTGTCAAAAGCTAAGAAATAATGAAGCCGGGGCTCCATATCCCGTGTGACGTTTTGTGAGTGTTGGCTCACATCTCAAGTTAGCTGGAGCTTGTTTTGACAGGCAGGGGTGGCAGGTGGATGGATGGGTGGGTAACATTGAAGAGTTCACTTTGGGCCTCCCTTGAGTCATCTCTGAGTGCTCAGCCATGTGCAGACATCCCATCTTTAAGGCCTGGCATTCTCAAGGTAAACGGCCACTCACAGAGCTCCAGGAGGAGAGGGTCTTCACACTCCTGCTGATTGAGCTCGGATACCTCAGTCTGCAGGGCAGGGCAGAGGAGCTGTTTTTTCTGACTTCAAGATCTGGATCCCCATGACCCCGGCCACCAGCAGGGTCAAGGCTGGAGATGGTGCCAGGCCCCAACTAGGACTACGACAGAGGTTGCTGCCCTTGAAATGCTCACAGGAGTGGGAGGGGCAGCCTGCAAATAGATTCAGAGGTACAGTGTGCTGCAGACATCCAGGGCTTTAAGTACCATGTGGAGCGGGACACCTGGCAGGCACTGGTCACCTCAGACTCCTTAGGCCACGGGCCAGGGGAGTATAAGAGAGGGCTTTTGGTAAAAGAGAATAAACTCTTATATTAAATGCTGGCAGTGAGTGGAGCCAGACTGGGGAGGGTAAGGAGGGCAACCTGGAAGCTGGTACAGCATGAGCAAAGGCACAGCAAGTGGAAGAAGTTTGGGGATCTACAGGCAATTTGGGGAGTAGGTGACCCCAGGCCAAGACAGAAAGACAGGAAGGCAGGTATGAACTTGTCTGCAGGCTGTAGGCAGCTGCCCCTACCAGAGATAGAAAGGGGAGCCTTTGCCTGCAGAAGGGACCTGTCTACTGACACTCACGCCTTGCAAACAAGTGAACTTGCTGTGGCCAAGCTCCCCAAGTGGACACTTACCTTGCCTCTTCCTAGGGTAGTTCACATCCCTGAAACCCAGCCTGGCCGGCCCCCAGCCTGAGGCTGCACAGAGTACTACCGAGTCCTTACTCGAGGAATGCAGGCTGTGGTCATCCAGAGCCAATGATGAAACAGGCTATTTCTGCCCTGGGACATCAGCAGGCCTCTGGGCACTGGCTCCAGGGCACACACTGTCGTGTTTTTTTAATGTTTCCCTAGACAAATATTTTCCTTCCCACCTTGAGATATTTTTATTCAAATCTAGGTGCTGGAGTAGCACTAGAAATTGTTCTGGATTGAAGTCGGAATCATGGTGAGGGGTCCTGCTAATAAGCAAGCAATTTCTCACTCCCCAAGTTATCTATTACCCGTGGCTGATCTGGATGTAAAAATAGCTGCTGAGGCTGTTTGTTTAATCTGACTGTTACTTGACACCACGCGGGTGTTGCAGTGCAGACTGTTTGCCTCTTCCCCATCAAGAACACCATTTGGTTTCCCCCGGCCGGGTCTCTATTTAGGTAAGCTTCTCAAACTCCCAGTGTCTGGCCAGCTTTTGGTCACTGATTTTCCTCAGGTGGGCAGGTTTGTGAGAAATAGGTTTGGTTCTGAAATCCACTCTCTTCTCATCTCTGGGTAGCCTGGCTAAAGAGGAACTTGTCCACTTTGGGCTGCTGGGGAAAGCTGGGCGCCCTCTGTTCCTGGGAAGGCCTGAGGAGCGAGCAGCTGGGACACGCGGAGAACAGAAGGTACAGTCCGGACACTTGCCTGGCTCCTGGGCACAGGCAGGGTATCTCCTGCTAATCAGAAGTGGTGTTTGATCCGGGAGGGCTGTGGGTGTGTTTGGGTAATGTGTTGGGTAATGGGGTTGGGGGACAAAAGCACACTGGGTGCTGAGGCTCTTGGGGTGCTGGGTGTGTTGCATGGCCGTAAACAGAAGATGTAACACACACACTTGTGACTTTATTCTGGTGCTCTGCTCCCACATGGCTGAGCGAGCACATGCCTGTGGACATGACTGGATCCCTGCATTGACAAATGGAACAACCGGTGGTCCCATGTTTCGTGGCAGTCAGAAGTAGAGAGGATGACACTCTTGTCTCCCCCAAGGCGGGATCTTAAGAACTATAACAGAGGTTGACTAACTGTTGGGACATTGGAACCTGTGGACTCAGAAAGCACATGTGTCCCCATCACAAAACCGTCCACAGACTGCTGTGAAGTCCTCACACAACCCAGGGGGCCCCACCAGACTCCCACAGGGCAGGCTTGGCCCAATCTAAAATCATCTCTTTTGTTCCTTGTGGAGAAGAATTGTTGGATGAGAACACATACGGCAAGCTAGATAGCCTTTAGAAAAATTATTAGATAGCAATTTAAAATGCCTCCATAAGGATAGGAACTTTACAAACTAGATTAAGCACATGTGCATGTTAAACACTTGGTTTCCAGCAACTTTACAATGGTGGTTGGTGAACTACCGCCTGTGGGCTGGGCACCTGGATTTGTAAATAAAGCTTTATTGGCACGCAGCCATACTCGTTCGTTTGCATATTGTCTATGGCTGCATTTACATGGCACCAGCAGAGGCTATAAGTCCTGCAAAAGTGGAATCATTTGCTGTGTAGTCCTCTACAGAAAAAGTTTGTTGACCTCTGTTGTGCAAACCACACACACGCACACACACACACAAAGCAATAAACATTGCTGCTAGAAAGGCCAAGAGGGACCCCTAGGACCAGTGGCTGGCTGCTCTGGGGCCTCTCGTCCCTCCCCTGGGCTTGTTTTTCAGGTCTATCTAGCATAGGAAATGTTCAGTTTGTCATGGGGCTGGGAGAGTGAGCTTACTGTGGAGTCACCAGCTGCATGGCATGTCCATGTGGCCTGGCTGAGCAGGGCAGATTGTGCTTATCGGGTGATACATAAATAGCCACCTCCAGATGACCCAAGTGCAACTTGCGTCTGCCCCTGGGTCTTTGGGTTGGGAGTAATTATGTCTGCTCTTTGGTGACCAGAGGGTCCTTGGGATGGGAGCAGCCACACGAGCTGGTGGAATGCTGGGTCCTGGAAACAGAGGGGCTGGGGCCTCCCCGGAAACCCAGGCAGAGGGAGCTGTGAAGGGAGAGTGGCCTTGCCACTCGCTGCCTTGTTTCTGCAATTGTCTGTATGCTTCCTTGCTCTTTGCTCCTAACCCCCAGGAAGCCCAGCAGACCCTTACTGAGGAGGGAAAGTCCCATCTGCCTACACCTCCAATCTCAGCCAGTCTCAGTTACTGAGTCCTTACCTTGGCTCCAAGGCTTAGCTGCCACTCATTTGCTCTTGGGGTTTCACTCCGTCTGCCCAGGCTTACTGGAGAGAAGCAAAAGGCTATATGGGGCGGCTGCCCAAATGGTATACAGTGCTTATGCTCCCCAACACAGTCCATGTACGTTGAGTGAGTCTTAGCTTTATTTGAGAATTTAACCTCATGTTACCCAACCCAGTCAGTCCATAGCCCTGTAACTCAATCTTAGGTTTCATTTAGTTTGTTGAAAAAAAACCCCAAATGTCTCTTAGTTTCTGTTGGTTCCCATGGGGTTGTGTGATATGAGTTCCTGTGAGTGGCCAGGGGAGAAGACGAAGGAATCTATCGAGGCTCACAGATCAAGACCCAAAAAGGGAGCGTGTGGCACACATACCAATGCTGAGGTGTCATCCAACCTGGCTTGGTGTGGAACATAGCTATGTACAGTCTCTGAAGACAGGCAGAGGTACAGCAGCTTCTCAGCTCACCTGGTGCTCGGGTGAAAGACTAAAGACAACTTGGTGCAACATGCATTTCCTTCTAAGCCCACATCAGTTGACCTTGGGAGAATCTGGCAGCAAGAGTCCAAACAATCCACCAGCCACAAATGGTTTCTCCCCAGCACTTAAAACACCTCACTTTCTTAGTATGAAGGGGAGGGGGACATTTTCCTGGCCCACAGTTCATGATAGTGGGCAGAAGCCTTCTGTTCTCACTCAGGCCAACATGAACACAGGGCAGGTGGTCAGGCCCCAGAAGGACCCTCAAGTCCTATGGAGGCACCTGCAAGTGACTTCAGTAGGAACCCAGGGCTTCTCTTTCCCTGAGAGGCCCCTTTCTCACTGGGCTAGTGCATAGGAGCCTGTAAGTTTGAATTGAGGCATAGATTTTTTGACTCAGCCATCTCCCGTCTCAAAGTCCTTGCCCAAAGCTTAAGTAAGGCAGAGAAAGGAAATGCTTAGATTCCCTTAAGCCGTCTCTTGGGATTTCTGAGGTCAGCACAGCTCTTTCCTACCCACTGCCATGACTGCAGACTGTTTTCACACCTGGTAATACTGAGCCTCATCTGTGAGGGCCAGGTCACGTTGGAGCTACCCCTTGGCTGGTCTTGTCCTCAGGCCACCAGGCCACATACAGTATCACAAACTTGTCCTCGTATCTGGTCCTATCTGTCCCTTGCAGAGACAGGTCAGGCCAAGAGGCTACAGAAAGCAAGGGGTCAGAGCTCAGACCCACAAGGCTAAACTCATTGGATCAGAGCCATTTCCTGCCTTAGTCTCCCGACCATATCCTCCACGCAATTTTTGGCTACATCCTTGCATGGGCAAGGCCTTAGCAAGTCTGGATTTATTCTTGAGGCGATCCAGCACAGCAAATCTTATGATCCTCTTCAGAGAGGCAAGCACTAAAGTTAAAAGAGGTTAAGCAACTTCTCCGAGGATGCGTGACTAACGAGGGGCAGCATTTCCCAACCTGAGAAGGCAAACACGGGAGGCACTTCCAAGGCCAGGGAAACCTTCAGCGGCTACGGTCAGGCCCAGGTGAGGGTGGGGACTTTACCTTGCCGCTCCATCCCCTTTATGTTGGGAAAAGGCAAAGCCATGCCTGTAACCCATATGCCCCTGGCCCTCGATTAACTGGGTTACATGGTGGTACCAACAATGACATCTCTTGGGTAGTTGCTAGGAGCCATTAGTCTCATTTTACAGATGAGGAAACTGAGGCACAAGAGGTTTTGTAATTTGTTGAGGGCCACTCACAAGTTCAGCCAGGGTCCTAGCCCCAGGAATATCTGGGTTCTGGCCCTGCCCTTCCTTCTGGGAATTAGGAATGGTAAGAACGGCATTTTATTTATTTATTTATTTTTGGCTGTACTGGGGATTGAACTCAGGGCCTTGTACTTGTGAGGCAAGCAGTCTACCTCGTGAGCCACATCTTCAGCCCAAGAGCAGCACTTAGCAAGCACCGCTCCTGCTTTCCAGATATGAGCTCCTTAGATGTACTTGATGTTGCTGTTAGTGGTGAATCACTGCTGCTGTGGATGCGAGATTCCTTCCCAACACAGTCCATATCAAAAGCCCAAGGTCTGCTCTAAGAAAAACACCATAGACTGGGTGGCTTATAAGCATCTGACATTTATTTCTCACAGTTCTGGAGGCTGGGAAATCCAAGATCAGGCCTCTGATCTTGGTGTCTGGGGAGGGCCCATTCTTCGTAGATGGCGCCCTCTTGTTGTGACTTCCACAGGTGGGAGGAGAGCAAGGGCACGCATTGATGTCCTTTGATTATAGGCACTAATCCCATTCAGGGGGCTCCACCTCATGAGGTCACCTCCCAGAGGCCCAACATCCTGATACCTTCACACTGGGGGTTAGGGTTCAGCCTAACCCCACAATGTCTCCAGGTGGGAGTTTCCGTGTAGGAGTCCTCACTCTGTGGAGATCTGTCCTACACAGAGTTATTTTCTCCTGTGGTCTTCACCACCACCCAGGAGCCAGCAATTCCTGCGGCCCAATGAGAAGGCTCAGAGAGGGGAAATAACTTGTGGGGGGGTCACACGGGGATGGGAGGTGGGAGCACTGGCCTGCCTCTGTACCTCATGCTTGTCCACCACCATCCTCTGCTGTGGCCCAGGCTGGGCCCAGCCGGCGCCTATGTACAGACTGGCAGCCCCACATTCCTGTGGCCTGCTCGTTGCCCAGCAAGTCTTCTCTCCTTCTGCCCATGAAGGAAACAGAACAGTTCCCTAGAAAGGACAGCATTCTGCTTCATCTCTGTACCTCACAGATACGTGGCCTGCCCATGCCAGGCACAGGACAGGGGTAGATGCTACATAAGTCACAGCTGATGACAACCAATCATGGGACCCCAGTGACCCAAGGGACCATAATATGTGAGTACAAACTTCCTGTTGCTCAGGACCTAGAGCAGCCTTCTCCAGGCGTGACCTAAAGCAGCCTGTGTCCTGGAACTTCTTAGACCTCCCTTCTCTCACTAAGGCCCGGTGCTCTGCTTAACAAGCCCCCAGGGCATCCTGAGAAGCACAGAGCCTGACCTGACCTCTGCCTTAGGAAAGGAAAGGGGAAAGTCTTGCCACTGTTCTCCAGCCCAACAGGAGATCCTCCAAGGGGCTGATTATTTTCACATCAACGGGAGCTGTTATTTTAAGTCAACTTGCCTATCTTTCAGCTTTATGTTCTAGAAAGACAGCCTGATGGTCACATTCTGAGTGTTTTCTCTTCCATGAGGAACTCCAGGAAGAGGGTAGATGGAAATCAGTTCCTCATAACTTTGCCCCACACAGCATGGAGCCCATTCTTCCCCTTTCCTTCCCCAGTCCCAGCCCCTCATCACTGCCCAATTGATGGAAGAAAGCACTACTGTCATTTACAAACCAGCCATCTACCCGGTTTTCCTAAGCCCTGGCAGGGACACAAGGAGAAACTCTGACCCTGTGCAGAAGAGCTGGGAGCTCCCAGAGGTGCTGTATGTAGGGACCCCTTCCCCTAATCCCTGACTTCCTAGGCCAGGGCTTGAGGCTGGTGTCTGTGGGACAGCCAGACCCTGTAAGGCCTTGTCCAGCTTCCTTAAAGTAAACCGTCCCATTGGGAAGAGGAGAGCCATGGCAGACGGATGAGAACGCTCCAGGAGAGGCTGCCACACTTCCTCATCCCTGGTGGTAGCACCAGGAGCACCCCACTACCTGTTTCTCTGTCTTCCCTGTATTAAGAAGGGCAGAGCACAGAAACCTAGGTCTGAATCCTGACTCTGCTGCTTTTTGGCTGCATGACCTTGAGCAAGTTCCGCAACCTCTCTGACCCTCATTTTCTCCACCTAAAACTCTTTTGGCGCACCAGCCTTACCTAACTTGTCAGTTGCTGTGACATTGAGTGAGGTCATGGACACAAAGTACCTGGTGGGGATCAGGAGATCCCCCATAGGTGCTTGGGGGCAACTATAGGTTGTTGATGCTTAGCCATACCTCTCCCATCTCTGCTTCTCTGCTGCGTGACCCAGGCACGTGGCACCCTCTTTCTGCTGGGGCAATTGTCTCAGTAGACAGTATGAGGAACCCTGCACACCTCTGCCTTCCCAGGCTGCTGAGCAGGCTGCCTGGAGCCTCCTTTCTGCACACCTGACATACTCCAGGTCTGCCAGCCAGGGTCCCTCCCCACACTGCCTGCTGTTTTTTCAGGGGCTGGACAGGAGATGGTTGCTGAGGGACATCCCCACTCCTGACAAACCCAAGGGTATCTTCTCTGGAAGACCTTTAGGCAGGCTCCTCCCTGATGAGGCTCTGTGAGGTGGAGTCCATAGCTACCATGGTCCTGCAGCAACCACTGTACAATTAGAAAGGGTTTTCATGGGTGTCAGTTGCTGGGGTTGCTGTCCCACTAGCCTCGAGGTGACCAAACAAGGCTCAGACAAACAGAGTGACTTGTCCAAAGCCTCAGATTCCAAAATTCTTAACCAGAGATCCATGTGTCACAGCCCAAAGAAGCACCATAGGGTTCCCAGGTCTTTGCACTCTGTGCTCTGGGGTCCCCAGTATCTCCAGTATGCAGGGAACAGGATATCCTCTAGATGTATATCTTAAGATGTGCTCCCAGGAGAGCTGAGAGTAGAGGCTTCAGGATAGTCCCCAAAGGGGCAGTGTGGCACTGAGCAGTGGTACTCAGCCTGTGGTGAGCATCTCTGCAGCTGATGGAGGAGGTTTTTAAGTGCACATGGCTGGGACCTCATCTCCAGCAGCCCAGGTCTCTGAAAGAACAAGAGGAATTCCTGCTTCATGAGGCTGTTGTGAGTATTAATTAAATAATAAACATTAGTCAGTAATACTGACTATAAAGGGCCTCTCTTGTACCAGTTGCTCAGTAAATAGAAATGTGTCTTATTCATTCATTCAACAAATAGAAATGTACCTTATTCATTCACTCAACAAATAAATGTCCTGACCTTGTGCTAGGAATAGACACTGTGAGGACTGAAGACAGAGCCAAGGAGCACAGCAAGGCGTGGCCCACAGTGCTGCCACCAAAGAGGTCTCCCTTTCCCCATGTGAATCTCATAGGACCCTCCAGTCACTGCACTGGGGCCTCGGGTCTCCAATTCTCCATCCAGGTGGAAATCTAGCATCGCTACAAACAGAGACACCGTGCACGGTGCCTGATCAGGGGCACCTAGAGATTCTTGCCTTGGATAGGTTTTCAAAGAATACTGCAGAACCTAAGTAATTACTGAGTCTCGATATCACTTATTAAGTTGCAAATAGAGGGTTTTTTATGAAAGACTATTAGAATAGAATGGAATGGAATGATCAGAGTAGTACACAGAAGAAATGTAAACTTTGCTTCATGAAATCCACGTGTGTGTGTGTGTGTGTGTGTGTGTGTGTGTGTGTGTGAGCATGCTCTGTGCCATCGTGTAAATGTACTTCATAGGATATATTGAGGAAAACACAGTGACCACCTCTGCTCCAGGAGAGGGGTAGAGGAACGGTTGGAATGTCAATCATTTGCTATCCAGCCTCCAGGCAGGGAAAGTACTGCTCTCCTTGATGCAGTTTCCTGGCTCTGTTCTGGCACGGGTGTCCCCCAGCTTGGGGAGGCCAGGATCTGGGGAGTCTGGCAGCTCTGAGCATGAGAAATCTCAAGCAGTGCCTGCCTCAGACACCAATTCCACAGTTCCTTTCCCCCGTGCAGGTAGCAGCCCTGGGGGTGGGAGGAAGTAGCAGGGTTGGTTTTTGTTCTCCCTATTTTACAGTGGCCGGAATGACACCACCACAGATCCAGCCTTCCAGCTCTTCCTGTGTTTGCAACTGCCTATTTGATTCCTCTCTCATGTCAGTTCCTGCTGTTTCCAGATTCCAGGGCAAGACAGTTGTGAGGAAGATAGAAGGGAAGAGCAGATGGACACATGAATGAATGGACAGAGCACCAGACTCTGGAGGTCACATGGGGATGGGTGACCCCACACTCAACCCTAACAGTCCTCAGTTGGAGAGGTTGCCCAGGGGCCTTTGACTATGTCAATAGTGCCAAGGTTGAGAAGACCCATTAGTGACACCTCCACAAGGTACACAGCACTAGCTCCATTTCACAGGTGAGATGCCTGAAGCTCACAGACTTGACTTCATGCTCAGCACATCTGTACCTAGATCCCGGGCAGAGCCCTGTGATCTACTGTCCCTTTTCTGGAAGCTGCCCTGCCTGGGCCTGGCAGTGGGCATGGCCCTACAATTTGGGCTGAGTGACAAGGAGTTCAAAGGGTCAAAATGCTAAGCAGGAAAACCATTTCTGCCAGCTTTTTTTTTTTTTTTTCCTCTTTCCTTTTCTTAGCTTTTGCCTCTCAGGGCACTACCTTAAGATCCTTTCTTGGCACAGAGGGTAACTGGCATTCTCCCTAGTTCTGAGAGCAGGATGCTTCAGTTCACCTGCTGTCCCTCTCAGAGTGCTTCTGCTCCTGCGAAGTCTCCTCCAAGCCCACAAGGAGGAACCGAAGCCTGTTATTCGGGGACATATGGCTGCTGAGGCTAGGCATCGTAGCAGCTGCAGAGATGCTGAGGAAGCACCATAGAGACTCTGGCAGTACCAGGCCTCAGCTCCTTCTGGTGGCGAATAAACCTGAGATCCTTTCCTGGCCGAGTCCAGTCCACCTGGCCACCAGGCATTCTGAGGAGTGATCCCTAACACTGCCCTTCCTCCAGAGGTGGGCAGGATCCACGTGAGTGCATTCTGCTGCTAGCTCAAGGGCAAGCCTCTGCCAGTGAGGCTCTGCACACATATCCTTACCAAAGCAAAAACAAGTGTGGCTGGAGCCTGCTGGAACTCAGAGGTGTCCCAGAACCCCTGTACCTCACAAGGCCTACCATAAACCTCATCCCAACTCTGCCTCAGGAAACTGCTCAGCACTACAAATCACAACTTGTTCCCTAGCAAAAGTGAGCAGGTCATTAAATACTGCTGGGCCTGTCCTGGTCATCAGGGATCAGAAACAGATGCCAGAAAGCAGTAGGTTGCTGGGAGACCCCTTGGATCCAGCCTGGTTCTCTCTCCTTTTTTCCTGGGACTTCTCATTTCTCTTGAGACAGGATCCTTTCCTGGGTCTTGATGTTAGGAGCCAGGCATCCTCACAGTCAGGTTAAAACAAGCCAGCCAGCTCTGTGCTGGGATCCTTGGCCTCTAACTGCAGACTCCACCCTGGGCAATGCTCGGAAACTTCTGGGGAAATGACCCATCTAGACACGGCAGAGAAGCTACCCTGGTAGGATCAGTTCCAGGCAGGCTGAGCTCCTCAGAGAAAGAGGCTCTCCTTAAAGGCCGCAGGACACAGTTGTGGCAACCACACACAACAACCAGGGCTGTGTGTCCAGCCAGTGCAGGCCAGCTGCTTTCTTCATCGTGAATCTCTGGAGTGTCATGGACTCCTTCTTGCTGTAGTTTTAGAGGTCCCTGCATGTGTGATGTGGTTTATGGAGGATTCAGATTGCTGCCGGGCCAGTGCTAACATTGGGACTCCCAGTACCAAGCACTTTTATGTTCCCAGGGTTAGACAAAGTCAGTCTTGTTCTCTACCAGGGCACAGGAGCCACCGGGTTGGTCTGAGAACGCTTGCCTTTTGCAGCCTAACTCCCAGCTTGGAGGCCATTCAAACCTCCAAGGTTTTGGGTGCCAAACATCAGAGCAGGGGAGCCAAAATGGTCAAAGCAGATGTACAAGGAGCCATGTGCAAGTCAAAGCTATGTTTTTACATGCACAAGAAGCATTGTCCAAAGGAAGCCAGATTAAAACAGAGGTAAATGTGCTTCTACAAAGCAAGGCCCTCCCAGGATTCATCCAATTCTGCAGGGAGACAGTTGCAAGCGAGCCCTGCCCATGGCTGTATCCCCAGCACCAGAGCAGGATGGCACATAATAGATGCTCATTGAGTAGCTTTTGAATGGACAAATGCATGAAACAGCTTCAAGTTCAGCTTGTGAGAGATCGTGGTTTCTTTCAGGAGAGTTTAAGTGATCTTGAAATTTCTGATCTCCAAAAGTCAAAAGTTACAAGGTCATAGCAATCACCACGTTGGGTGAAGAAATCACATGGGACCAGAGAACAAGGCAAGGTTGGGGTGTTGCCCAGCTCTGGCATGCAGGGGCCCTAAGCAAGGAAGAAGCAATCAACCCCAGGAGCCTCAGTGTACTCAGCTGAAAGACAGGGCAGAGGCCCACCCTGCCAAGTTCTATTGGCAAGTCAGGGAGTACAGGCACATGCAGCAGTGGGCCCAAGCCTGCCACTCCATAGATGCCCTGCCCATGTCTGTTCCCTTCTCCTAAAGAGCACAACCAAGGAAGGAAATTCTATCATTTCATCATTCACTGTTATAGAGTGAATGTTTGTGTACCGAGAACTCATATGTTGAGACCCTAATCCTCAATGGTTTGGAATTAGGAGTCAAGGCCTATGGGAGGCAATTAGGTTATGAGAGGGAGTCCTCATGAGTGGGATTAGTGCCCTTATGAGAAGAGACATGAGAGAGAACTTTTTTTGGTTGTACCAGTGTTTGAACTCAGGTCCTCATGCTTGGTAGGCAGGCATTCTACAGCTTGAGCCACTCCACCAGCAAGAGAAAACTTTGAGAAATAAATCTTGGCTGTTCAAGCTACCTAGTCTATGGGATTTTTGTTTTACCAGCCCAAGTCAACTAAGACATTCACCCCATCAAATACAGAATATATGAACAGGAGGGCTGTTAGCAGTTGCACAGAGGTCAAGAGCTTGGCCTGAGACTGATCAGCCTGAAACTGTCCTGGTGTGGACAGGAGCTGGTGTGGGATGGGTGGTAGAGGTTGTGTGCACATCCATGGCTGGAATGCAGCTTCCAGCCTGTGCACAGACAGGGAACCTGTCATAGTTCACTACTCTGAAGAGCTCCTTAGGGCCTGCCTGATTTGATGTCTCAAAAACCTACCTTAGAAAGCACAGCAAGAGGAATCAATTCCAATTTGTTAGGGCCTTCTGGGTGTGATAAAGCCAACCCCATCCTCTCCTCTGTCTTCCTGCTTCCCCTTTACAAAGAAGTGGAAACGCCATTCAATTAAGGCAATTAAATCCACCCAAAGACCTCAGGCTCCAAAACCACACAATAGGCAAGTGGTCAAACTCAGCAGCAGAGCAAACCCCAATGGCTTCCTGTGGAAAGGCGAACAGGGATGAAGAGACAAATGCAAGGCCATCTCGGCAGCTTGGGAGTGAGTCCCCCTCCCCATCTCTGCAGAGGCCTCAGAACTACCAAGCCCTCCCCAAGCAGAGGGACCCCATGATTCCCAGCTGAATCAACAGTTCTATGCCTGTGGCCACCACAAAAAACTGAGCTGAGTGAACCCTTAGGACATGGTGTAAACATTGAAATGAAAACCCTCCTTTTCTCCACCGTGCCTTCAGTTCTTCTGTGAACTCCTGCCCAGAAACCACGAGCAGTGAGGATGCCTCCCGTGACATTCTCTTGGAGTCTAAGCCCAGGAGCCAAAAGTTCAGGGTTTCATCCTGAGAAAGTGCAAGTGGTCAAGTGGTGACAGGAGCTGAATCCCAGTCCCTGTTCCTCTCTTTTTTTACATGCTGTGTGACACTGAGCAATATCCTGGACCTCTCTGTGCCTTCATTTCTCCACCTAGAGAATTGTGATAAGGTCTACTCAACCCTCCTCAAAGCCATCCTGGGAATCAAACAAGATAATGGATGCCGACTGGTCAGGAACTAACTGCAAGGTGATGTGCACACTTGAGCCACTGCTGTTCCTGGGTCACCCCAGGATTGATTTGCCATATTGTCTTCCTAATACTTTGGTACTAACAGCTGGTGAGGCATTTGAGTTGCCAGATTTAAATAAAATAGGAATTTCAGTGGAATTTGAATTTCAGATGAATATTTTTAGTATAAGTATACCCCACATATTACATGGGTTATACTTACACTGAAAAAAGTATTTATCATTTATCTGAAGTTTGCATTTCCCTGGGGGTCCTATAGTTTTCACTCACTCAGTCTGGCAGCCTAGGCATGCCAGACCTCCAGCAGTTTCCTCTCTTGTGGGGTACTGACCCCAGGACCACACAGGCCTGGGACCCCAGCCCAGCTCTATCACTCACCAGCTGTGTGACATAGAATGTTCACTTCACCTCCCTGAGGTCTCATCTTTGAAGTGAAGGTGATAATGCACAGTCATGTTGGTGGCAACGGTTCCTGAGCTGCAGCCTCCAATGTCACTGACCGGGCCCTGGTTCTGTGGGGCCTGCACCCCTCAGTCATGGGGCTCAAAAGAGTAGCTGTTTGTGAAGCATGGAAGAGGCCCTAGTGGTGGGGTTGACACATTTGAGTCCCCTCCCCAGACCACTTCCTGTGCTCACAGCCTGGGATGCATGAGGGTTTGGGGCTATGTGGCACTCTCTGGCCTGAGCTGGCAGCTGACCCCAAGCCTTGAGGGAGACATGAAAAGCATGGGGTGGCTGACCTTTCAACCTTCCCTCTGTCTGCACACCACACACTCCAGCACACCTCTGTCATCACATCCTTGTGGCCCAAGACGTGCTCCATAACAGCAACTGAAAGCATTTACACCAGATGACCAGGCACCATGCACCAGGTCAGTCAAAGACGGACTGGCCAGGAACCTCAGTCCAAGGACCTCAAAGTCATGTTGGAAAGATGGATCATAGCAGAAAAAAATGGAATGAAACAATGGGAGGGATTAAAAAAAATAGATTCTATAAGGAATAGGTGGTCAGAGAAGGATGGGGTCAACAGTGTGGCCAGAGGACAAAGAGGGATGTTCCAGGCAAAGGAGCTCAGAGGAGCCACTCTAGGACACATGTGGGGTCAGCAGCTCCCTGTCTGGTGTGTCACAAGCCAGGCAGGGAGAGGGTGCATGGGGGAAGTCAAGCTTCCCACTTACAGAGGACCTTGCAGGTCCTGAATAGGCATTCAAACTCAGGGCTTTGCATTGGCTTGGCAAGTGCTCTACCACTTGAGTTACACTCCCAGCATTCTGCATAGGCATTTATGAGGGAGTAGGAGGGAAAAAAACAAACTGTCTCTGAAGAAGCAGCACATCCTGGTCCATGACAAGACAGTAATTGTGAGACACACAGAAAAGCATCATGTGTGCAAACATTAGAATTTAATAATGACTGTGCAAAGGACATTTTGGTGCCCATCTCAAGAAAAGCTTGGTTCATGGGGATGCACTCTCAGATGTGGCTGGTTTTATATATTCTGATTCTATTTAAAAAGATGGCCCTACTGTAAGAAAAAGACAAAATGCATCCTGGAGTGTGAGTCTTCCCCCTCGAGGCTATGCACACAGGGCCCCATGCACACTTTCACTGTGGATGTGTCACTAGTCCACTAATTCCTTCCCGGGGACCCTGCTTCTCTTTTTGTGCCCTGGTGTTCCACCAAAGCTGCTCACACTGACACAAGCTTACCCCAGGCTCACCATCCGTGGAGGGGTTGCTGGAGGTCCCGAGAGCAGAGTTGCTGAGTTCTGTAGGGTTGTCTGGACCACACAGAGAATACTGCCTTTGCTGATGCCGTCGGTACATCTCGCATCATTTAATAACCATTTGCAGTGTCCATCCCCAGACTGCGAGGGAAGGTGTTCAAATGGAATTGCTGGGAACCGTTCCTCCCGAGGACATCAAATCCACCCCTGCAACTTGGAGCATTGGGAAGAAACAGGGACATTGGGAAGTCATTTCTCCCCGATATAAATGCTAACCAGTATTCACCTTGAAACTCAGGCCTGACTTAAATGGTGTGAACAGGGTCTCAAGGAATAATCAAATTATCTTTGACCACAGACAAATAGGCTTGGAATCAAACAACAAACAAAATCCCCTTGGATTCAAATTCACTAATTTGGAATTTTTGCTAGTTCTGCAATCACCAGATAATCATTGAATCAGTAAAATAAATGCTGCTGATGTAGAGGTGGAAGAATTTGCTCATTTATTTAACAGACATCTCGTGCTATGAACATGAGGAGGGTAGTTGAAAAAGCAGACAGAGAAGCCAGCCCTCGCACGGGAGAGACAAACATTAAACAATAAATTGCCCAGCTTGATAGCATAATTATGACAAGTGCTACAAAGGAGACGGATGTGGCTTATTATGGGACTATGTAATGGGAGGCAGTGCTGGAAACAGCCTTGGTGAGGGACATATAATATGGACTCTGAAGCATGTGTAGGACCAGGTAACAGGGAAAAGAAGAAAGAAAAGGATCCTAGGAAGAGGGAACAGCATGTGCAAAGGCCCAAGGCAAGAAGTCACTCAGTTTGTTGAAGAAGCTGGAAAAAGCCAGGGTGGCTGGAAAAGTCTCCAAAATGAGGAAGGAGAGACTCCGTATGAAGATGACTTTTCATTCTTGAAAACAGAGAATCCATTGAGAGTTCAAAGCAAGAGGCTGACGTGAATAGATTTGACTTTCAGGTGCTGTGTCTGGGTAAAGAGTGTAGAAATAAATATGGACTTCTACAGTCTCCCGAGGAGACATGATGGCCCTGGGGCCATCTAGTGATTCAGTGGCAAATGAGATTGGTGTACGGGAGTAAGACACTTTTTGGGTTTTTTTTTTTGGACAATACTGGGGTTTGAACTCAGGTCCTCATGCTTGCTATGCAGGTGCTCTACCGCTTGAGCCACATCTCCAGGCCCCTTTTGCTTTAGTTATTTTTCAGATAGGGTCTTGCACTTTTTTGCCAGGGGCCAGCCTTGGACCTCAATCCTCCTGGCATGACAAGGTATGCATCATCATGCCCAGCTTGTTCTTTGAGATAGGGTCTCACTAATTTTTTGCACCAGCTGGTTTCAAACCTCCATCCTCCTGATCTCTAACTCCCAAATAGCTGGGATTACAGACATGAGCCATTGCACCTGGAAAGACACCTTTAAAAGATGAAATGCACAGGAGTTGGAAAGGAATGGAGAAGAAGACTCAGGGAAGGAGAGGAGGTGGCCCCACTGATTCTTGAGTTTATGGATCCCCAGAGGGAGAAATAGCCATGGAAAGTTTTTGGGTGTTGTTTTAAACATGTGAGACACAGTGGGAAGTTGGAGGCGTGGGCAAGAGCCAGATGAGAGGCCTGGCTGGCTAAGACTGAGGGTGCAACACTGCAGACTGAGAAGTGAAGCCTCAGCTGGAAGTAAAGGAAACCCAGCAGCAAGGAGCAGAACACAAGGTGGGGAAGAGAGAAGTAAAGACTCAAGGTCCCTCACAAGTGAACGCCTAGAAGTTAAGCCAGAGGAGGAACAAAAGTGAGTCACTGCAAGATTCATCTGGGAGCAGTGAGGGGTGGTGAGGGCACCAAAGGCAAGCAAACGAGGCTGAAGAAAGGATAGAAGTAAGGGGGAGAAGCTTAAGAGAACAAGACTGCTCTTGAGGGCAAATGACATAGATAGGAAATTATCATGTTTACTTTCATTCCTGTGTATTCTTTAGACTGATTCCAAGTCCTGGTTTCTAATATGGCTCAGATCTGTGCCATTTGTCATGTCATCCAAAGATGTCTTCTGAATGTGACATGGCGCCCTTTTACCTGAAACATGTTCTATGTGCCAGACACTTCACCAACTCAGGCTGGCGTCCTGTGCAAGACTCACAGTGAGGAGTGAGCCATTTTCCCGCACAGGCCCCTGGGAACCGCATTTGGACAGCAGGAACAATGCGTCCATGAGGCAACTGGATGGGGAGTCCAGGCACAGAGCACAAGATTCCGAATGTCCACAGAAGAAAGGCCTCCATGTCATTCCACACCTGCATATCTGTGCACATGTAGCATCTACTGGATTTTATCCTCATCCCTAAGTCATGTCTCAGAGGAGTTGAAGGCTGTGGCATGCACGGATTATTAGATGATATGAATGGACCAATCTGAAGTCTCCAGATGGCCCTGCCACCCAAGTTCAGGCCTCTTTCTCACTAAACTTTGTATTATCTTGTTCCTTTTTTTCTGTGCTTCAGTTTGCCTTCTAGGAAAAAACAAACAAGGATTGAGATATCCAACTCAGAGCATTGCCACATATGTTTACCAATTATGTGACCAGTGTACAAAGACATTTAAGACCCTTTTCCAGGGTTCAAGGAACTTTCGGTTCTTTGACGGGAGAAAGAAGCAATCGCCAATTTCTAAAACACATGGGTTATGATATCTGATCTGTGACAACACAGCTTGAGCTCTGGGAAAGGTAAAGCCACATGCTGTGGGGACATCAGGAAGGCCCATCTAAACCAGCCTGGGAAGTGGGGATGGGGCCTTACCGTATGGTGGCAGACACAAAGTGCCTCTGTGATTCTCCAAAGAAATAAGTCCCCCAAATTTGAGTTATTATGATTATTAATATTATTAATAAACTACCTCAGTCTAGATTAATATCCAGGAGCTACAATCTGGGGAGGTCTGTGGGAGCCCCCAGAGTCTGCATTTAAGATTTGCATAGCGGGTTTATTTTAATTAGTTTACACTTCATCCTGAGCACTCTGAGAATTCTCCTGGGCAGCTTTTTGGTTCTTTTAGCTGTCAAAATAGATACTCACGCCTCCTGCCAACAATAAATCGAACGCTGTACTGCTGTTTGCTGAGTGGACTTGGGTTTGGCTGTTCTGGTTCCCTTTATTGCAAAAGCTAAGTTATTAATTCATGGGGAAAGGGCCTTTAGTTAGATTTTACTAGAAACAAAATTCACAACCTAGCTAATCATATTAGAAATCCCAAAGGCTTAAGACAGGATCCTGAAGACTTCTTGGACCCTAAACATTAACATTAAAAGGAATATAAATTAACCCTTCATTGGTTTTCACCAAAAATGCCTGCTTATAATTTTGGTGAGTTAAAGTGCAGATTTAAAAAGAGAAGACTGAAGTTCAAGTGTGTTGTAATTATAATACTGACATTTGAAGATAGCTTTTCCATTGAGCACTTTTGGCCAGTTGGGTTCCACTAAAATTATTTTTCCTCTTCTTTCTAGATGGACAGTGATGACTCCAAATTTAAGCATGAAAAGAAGTTTTAAAACCATAAATCCTAAAACCCACCAAGGCAGGCACCTGCAGCCCCCACTGCTATAACAAGGTATGTGCTCATCAGCTGTTACCATAACACACACCTGAGATAAAGAACATGAAGAGAGGAAACATTTATTTTGGCTTATAGTTTTGGAGGTTTCAGTCCATGGTCAGTTGGCCCCATTGCTTTTTGGTCTGTGACAAGGCAACAAATCATGGTGGGAGTGTGTGTGGCAGAGGTAGACACTCAACTCACAGCCACCTATAAGCAAAGCAAGAAGAGCAGGCAGCAGGATTCCAATATCCTCTTCAAAGTCACACTCCTAGTGACCTAAAAACTTTCCATTAGGCCTCACCTCAACATTTCCAACACCTCCCAATAGCACCCACCCAGCTGGAGGGTAAATCTTAACATATAGTCATTTGGGTGACATTCAAGATCCAAACCATTGCCATATGGAACCACTCAAAAGCCAGCATCGGGAAACACCTTCTGTGGGTGGCAACTATGCTAAAGGTACTACTGGGGAGTGGGAGGACGAAGCCAACATTGTGATTATCCCATCTGACTCCGGGTATATCAAATCAGAATTGAAGAAATTACCTGAATAAAGCTGATGGGCAGCTTTATTTTCTGCAAGCTCTATCAGCGAACATCCTTGACTACTACTTGGAATTACAGTGAAAACCAAAGATCTGTTAGAGTTCTTTGGTCATAAGCAACAGAAACAGAATCTGGGTACGTGAACAGAAATGAATAGCTATGGAAAGGAAATTGAACACTCATTATAAAAGATGAAGTTCCAGGGAAGGAAAGATCAAGAACTAGGCAGTCCCAGAGCACAGGGAAAGCTCTCCCACCAAGAAGAATGAGGAGCACCTGTCCTTTGCGTGACTCCCGGAGGAATAGTGTGATTGATCACCCTGACTCTCACATCTGCACATGGGCCAGTGAGCTTGGCAGGCATCTTGACTTTCAACACCTCTGACACTGGGCATGATGGTAAGAAAAAGAAATGTCCTGAAGGTATCAAGTCTTTTTACTCAGAAGAGAAAGACAGAAGCCGAGTGTTCTATGATGTAGAACAAATTAGCAAATTCTTGCTAATAGAACAGTAGGAGCTGTTCACATGGCTAGGGGGCTGGCGAGTTGACTCCTAGATCTTAGATTTAAGCCTGCAACTATCCTACTTCATATTCATGCAAAAGTGGAGGGAAGTCCAGTATTACCAAGCTTATCACAGTCATGAGCCAGCAACGACTATGATCGCAGCATTCAGGACACCAGCGGACTCCCTGACTGAGTTAGTAGGACCTCAGGGGGCAGAAAGCCAGACCCACTGTGGCCAAAGCTACAGAGGTCTTCTTGACCCCAGTAACACAAACATCAGAGGTTCACAGCTCAATAGTCATCAAGTACTTAGACTGCTCATCTGTCCACCCTGCCATTAGCAAGATGGACTTCAGTGGTCATGACTTGTTCCTGGAGGTTCTAGAGTGAATGCCTCCATGTTGTGGTTGAATTGTATTCCTAAAATTCACAGGTTGAAGTCCTATCCCCCAGAACATTGCTTGGAAATAGGTTTACTGCAGATATAACTAGTTAAGATGAGGCTACTAGGAGGACCCAGATTCATTTTGGTTGAAGTCCTGATCAGAAGGCTCCATTTGGGCACAGAGACAAGCATATAGGAAAGACAGTAAGAAGATACATGGAGAAGATGGCCGTGTGCACATTAAGGAAAGGGTCCTGGGACAGATCGTCTCTCGTGGCCCTCAGAAGGAACCAGTCCAGCTGACACCCCCATGTGGGACTTGCGCCTCCAGAGTTAAGGGACAGTGTGTTTCCTTTGCTCAAGCCATCAGGGTGGGCTTTATTAACTTTATTAACACAGTCCTAGCAAAGTAATGCAGTCAGCTTCAGGCTTCCTGTCTGCATCAAAGGCAGGAGGAAAGGAACCAATTCTGATTGTTTCTTCGATCAGAAAGATGAGAATTTTTGCAAATATTCAGCTGCTTCCATCCCTGTAACCTGAACCCTGTCACTCCTGCATGGGAGTCTGGATCATGAGTGTGGACTTCTCCAGATGTTTGAGTAGCAGCAGGTGGAAAAGGGACACGGGAAGATATGAGGCCAGCGAAGTTAGCCTCCCATACCACCAGTCTAGCTACTGCCGTCCCTTTCACATGGCCTTCTGAGAAGTGCATGCTATGGGGAGGGGGTGGTCCATGCTTCCTAGGGAGCCAGCAGCTGGAGTTTCCAGGCAGGGCTAGGGAGCACACATGGTGAGGCCTCTGGAGCAGGACAATAGCTACTCACTCCATTCACTGGAAACCAGGGCCGTCCTCTCCGTCAGCCACAGCACAGTTCTTTTATTCATAAAAAGCAGTAGCCTGTCAGTGAGTCAGCAATGGAAACTCACCAGAGTGCTGTGGCCAAGAGACAGGAAGCAACAGATCTATCGGAGGCTAGCCTCTAGGATGGCAGTACAGCAGCTTCACCCTGCGTGGGGACACCCTCAACACCATCCCTGACCCCCTGGAGCCTTTTAGGAACTCCACCAACACAGAGAGCTGTAGAAATCACAAAAGCCAGACACACTGAGGCCACAGCAGCCAATGGTGGTCACTGAGCAGAAGAGGGTGAAGCCAGGCAGGACCCAGGACTCCAAACACATGGTCAGATCTCCCTGACCCCTGCATCCTCCAGCCCAAAGCACCAATGCTTTTATTGCAAAAGCCAAGCAATGAGGAGAGGGTGTAGCTTGGCATCTCCTGCTGTTGCCATGGACAGGGCTTTTGGGGGACAGTGCTCCTCTGTCATGGAGAACGTAAGAGCCCCCTGCCAGATGTTTGCTGGGTCCCTTCCAGGGACAGCCAATATTGCATTTCATCTAATGTTTATGTACTCATTCCTGATACTCTGCCCCAGGGCCAGGCAATGTTCTAAGCTTTGGCTGTATGGGTCCCAGTGGGAACCCTCAGGGTCCCAGAAGGAAGCTGTATCTTCAGGCAGTGTTCACGGAGAAGATAATTCACTGCCACTCATGGGGTGGCTACTCTCAAAAAAAAAAAAAAAGAAAGAAAATAATAAGTGTTGGTGAGGATGGGGGAAACTGGAACTTACAAATGGAACTATAGAATGGTACAAACCCCTGTGGAAAATGGTATGGTAGTTTGTCAAAAAAATGAAACACATAAAAAACAAAAGAAAAAAATGAAACACTGAATCACCATAGCAGCCAGCAATTCTGGGATGCACCCAAAAGATCTGAGGGAAGAGTCTCAAGAGCTATTCACACAGCCATGCCCACAGAAGCAGGATTCACAGAAGCCAGAGAAGCTGGAAACAACCCAAGCGTCCACCACCATGGGTAAACAGCTACACAAAGTGGGCACAGTCCACAGACTCACTCACCATGGATCCAAAACACCTGGAAAAAATTACATCTGTACTTAATCTGTACTGACTACTTTCTTAAAATTATTCCCTAAACAGTACAGTATAACATCTATGTACACAGCATTTGCAGGGTATTGTGCATTTTGTCATCTCCAGGTGATTTAAAGTGTGGGGAAGGATCTGTGCAAGCTATATGCAAATACTACCCACTTTATATAAGGGACTTGAGCATCTATAGATTTTAATACACACGGGGGAGGGGCTAGAGCAATTCTCCATGATGACAAGGGACAATGGTATATACATATATCTCTACAGACATAAAGATAGACGTATGTTTATGTATGTAGGTATAACACAATATCATTCAGCCTTGAATATTGTGTCCCTCAGAAGAAACTATGACACATGCTAAAACATATCTAAGCCTTGAGGATGCTATGCTAAGTGAAATAAGCCAGAAACAAAAGGACAAATACATGATTCCACATTTATAAGCATATTAGAGTAGTCAAACTCATAGAGACAGACAGGAGGATGGAGGGTGCCAGGGAGGGGGAGAGATGATTGGAGAGTGAGTAATCCAGAGTTTTAGAGGGTCTTTTGTAGATGGGGGCTGTTGCCTTATTTTTTCATTACTGGAATTTGAACTCAGGGTTTTATGCAGGCACTTTACCACTGAAGCCATGCCCCCGGCCCTTTTTGCTTAGACTATTTTTTGAATAGGGTCTCCTGTTTTTCCCCAGGTTGGTCTGGACCATGATCCTCCTATTTACACTTTCTGCATAGCTGGGATCACAGACGTGTACCACTATGCCTGGCTTATTGGTTTAGATGAGGTTTTGCAAACTTTTTGCCCAAACTGATCTCAAACTGTGATCGTCCTGATCTCTACTTCCATGTCTGGGATTACAGACATGCCAGGCCAGAGGTTTGTTTTTGTTTTGGGTTTTTTTGTTTGTTTGTTTGTTTGTTTTTGGCAGCACTGGGGTTTTGAACTCAGGGCCTTATGCTTATTAGGCAGGCATCTTACCGCTTGAGCCACTCTGCCAGCCCACAGACCAGAGTTTTAATTCTGCAAGATGAAGAAGTGCTGGAGAAGGATGGTGGTGATGACCACACAACAATGCAAATATACCGTAAAACTGTACTAAAGTGTACACTTACAGAGGTTAAGATGGTATATTTTATATTATGTATATTTCACCACAACTTCTAAAGAGAATGTAATGGAGGAAGTATATCAGAGGAACAGGCAGAATTCAGGACAGCCCAGGAACATGAAGTCACTCAGGAGTGGGAACTCTTCTCATGACACCAAGCAGGGAGTGGTGCTGCTGGAGCCAGGGAGAGTCACAGTCCAGGGGACAGAAGACAGCAGTGATGCGAGAAGCCCACTCCCCAACAAGAAACCCAAGGTTGCTGCTCCCTCCCTCCAGGCTCCTCCCAGCACCTCCAGGGCCACACCCAGAGCAAGTCAGAGCACCAGGACCCAGAAGGTGCATGCTCTGAAGAACAGGTCCTCTTCTGGGGGAACTCAGCCAGCACCCCTAAGCTCATGATGATCGCTTTATAATGTGGGGCCAGGTGGCAAAGAAGTAAACTTAGACTAGGAAGGGGACACTCATGAAATGTCAGGGACGGGCTATGAAAATGGCACATCTGAAACTTAGGCACTGTGTTAGTCAGTGTTCTCCAGAACAGAACTACAAGGATTCAGAAGGAGAGAGGGAGGGATGGAAAGAGGGGGTTGAGAGAGAGAGAGAGAGAGAGAGGGAGCGAGAGACTTAACTGAAGAGACTTAACTTAGCAAATTTCCAAGTATGCCGTGCAGCATCAGTAACTAGAGGCCCTATGCTCTACCCTAGAACTCTAGGACTTATTCTTCATACAAAATCAAAACTTGACCATCAGGTCCTTGCTTCTGCACCCCATCCCCAGCCCCTGGCAGCCACCATTCTACTCTCTGCTTCTAGGAGTTTGACTGTTTTCGATTCCTTGCACAAGTGGTATCGTGTGGTCTGTCCTTTTGTGCCTGGCTTATCTCCTCTAGGTCTATCCATGTTGTCACATTTTTAAATCTGTTCATCCATGCCTGGACATTTAGGTTGCTCCCATGTTTTAGCTACCGAGAAGAGTATTGCTAAGAACATTGGACTACAGCTGTCTCTGTAAGAACCTGACATCATTTCCTTTAGATCATACAGTAGTTCAGTTTTTGGGTTTTTTTTTTTGAGGAACATCCATACTGTTTGCCATAATGGCTGTACTAATTTACATTCCCACCAACAGTGTGCAAGGCTTTCCTTTCCTCTCTCTGCTTGCTAACACTTGTTATACTTTTATAATATCCATCCTAACAGGCACGAGATGATGTATCACTGCGGTTTTAATTTGCTTTCTCCTGGTAATTTGTGATGTTGGGCACGTTTTCCCAACATCTTTTGGACCATTTGTGTGTCTCTTTATAGAGATATTTATTCAGCTCCTTTACCAATTTTTAATCGGTTACTTGCTTTTTTTAAGGTTCTTTTGCTATTGATTTGTAGGAGTTCTTTATGTATTTAGAATATTAATCCTTTATCAGATACATGGTTTTTCACATATTTCCTCCTATTTCATGGGGTACTGTGTCACCTTGCTGCTCCCTTCCTTTGCTACATAGAAGCATTTTAGTTTGATGCAATCACACTTGGCCATTTTTGCTTTTGCTACATGTCATTTCTCAATTGTTTTCCTCTTTGGGCCTTCAGCTGATGAGGTGAGACTCACCTGCATTATAGAAGGTAATCTGCTTTACCCAGTCTACCGATTTGAATGTTAATCACATCTTAAATACTGTCACAGCAACATCTAGACTGGTATTTAACCAAAAACAATACCCTAGGCTAGCCCAGTTGATACATAACTAACCATCACAGGCACCATCACCCACCTAGACCAGTATGTGGTTTAATTTGGGTCTCCTGTTCACACTATCCACTTCTTTCTTTTGCAGAGAAAAAAAAAAACATTTTGCCATTGCAACTGATCAACAAGAAACTCTAATTTGTGGGAAGACAGCTGCACCTGACCCTGGCCAGAATCTCTCCCAAAAGCACCGGACAACTGACTGGTCAGTCTTATTAGAGCCCACAGGCCATGCAGGGGAACAAGAAGTGCACAGATGGCTTCAGTGACACCTCTAGCATTGGCAGCCTGCTGGACGATGCAGACAGGGAGGTGAGCAACCTCACAGACCGAGCATTCCGGAGCTTGTGTATCTCCGAGGACGCTTCCTTCCAGGGCTCCGACCTTGCCCTGTCCCCAGACAGCACCCGCCAGGTGTTTGGGACTTTTCGCCAGGGAACAGTGAGCCATACCCATAGGAAAAGTGGCATTTGGAGCCAGCTTCCATCACAAGGCACAGAGCATGCTGGCTGGGCAGCCACTTTCCAACAGCTACCCAAGTATGTTCAAGGAGAGGAAAAGTACCCCAAAAGCAGCCCTCCACCAACACCAGTCCAGAGGAGACTGGAGGTGCCAGTTTCTGGCCTGAGGAGCAGCAGCAAGCCAGTTTCCAAAGTCTCGTCACTGATCAAATCCTTTGACAGGACTGAGAGTCAACACTGTGACATCAGACCTCCGACTAGTAAGCCCCCAGCTCTCAAAAATCCCCCCAAATTTGCCCCTCTCCCAGAAAGTGGTGTCAACTTCTGTTTTGATTCTGCCTTTCTGACTGTCAGGAGGGTGCCTGCTGAAGTCTCTAGCAGCCACCAGCCCAGCAGGAACCGCAGAGAGCAAGAGTCCCCCAAGAACCCTGAAATGGCTTGTCACAGCTCCAGCAGCTTCCTCCCAACACCCAGTGCAGGTGGCACGTTTGAGTCAAGGTTCCCTTCTCCACCCCACAAGCCAGCCAAGGTCGAACCTGGAAGAGGCAAGGAGTGGGCTCCCAAAGGGACTTTTCTGCACAGTGAGAATAGTGCTTTTGAGTCATGGACCGCCCACCAACCAAAGCTGCTTGAGAGGAAGAACGTCACTGAAACTGTCCCAGAAAGCAAAGCCCCGAAGCATTACGAGGACATGCCCTTGTTACAAGGACCACATCTTCCTGAGCACAAAGTGTCTCCCTGCCAGGTCCTGGCCAGCTATGCCCAGGAGGAGAACCGATCAGCACCAGGGCCTCTGTCCACATCTGGACCTTGGAGTTCCAGGGAGACAGGAGCCCAGGTGTTCCCTGTAGAGGGAAAAGATTCTGGCTCACAGGTGGACCCTCAGGTAAAGCCAAGCCAACCCCCATGGAGGAAGCCAAAGGCTAGAAAAGGAGGGAAGGACATTCTCCAAGATGCTTCAGAAGAAAAGAAACAGACCAACAAAAGAGACCCACCTCTGTATTCAAAGCATAACCCCCCAGGGCAATTCCCAGAAAATGATGCTCTGGCCATGCCTGGGGACCCCAATGAGCATTACAGTCCTCCTTTTAATATCAGTAAGCTACTGACCCCCATCATACCCACCAAGCATGCCCTGGACTCATCAGACACCCAGCCAGGGCAGATCAGCCCATCCCCTCCAGGACAGCTGAACGGATACCAAGAGAAGGAGCCCAGTGAGTGTCAGTCTCGAGACAGCTACAAATCCAAGGCCCCAAGCCTATTGTTCAACCTCAAGGATGTGCGGAAGCGTGTCAAGAGTACATACAGCCCTTCCCCTCTCATGAAAGGCCTTGAGGAAAAAGGCAGAGGTAAGGTTGATGGCAAGCAAGAACCTGTAAGCAACGGGGTCATCCTTCCCAATGGACATGAGGAAAGCCCTCCACACGAGGTTTCCAAGGATAGCCCAGCTGATGGTACCCAGGGGGACCCTACCACCAGCCCCAGTGGGTCCTCTGCAGAAAACCACCTAACCCTCAGCTCACCTCCAACTGGCACTAAAGGCCCCTTCTGTGTCAATGGGGAGGCTGCAGAAAGGAACAGTAATGAGAAGGATGAAGCTGAAGGAGATACAGAACTGGGTCCCACCACCCGGTATAGCTGGCATCCAGACTTCAGGGAACACCGCCCCAGGAAGCACCTGTCCCTGAAACTTTGCAATAGAGAGACTGGAGCTGGACAGGCTCCAGAAAAAGCAAAGCCCCACCAGCTGGAGAATGGACTTTCAAGATCCATCTCCCAAGAGGCAGAACCTGACCGAGAGGTGGAACATCAGAGCCAGAAATTCTCCCCAGGGCCCCTCTCCCCCGAGGAGGAGGATGTGTTCTATAGTGACAGCCAGTCCGATTTTATGCCAGGCCTCCAAAGTAAGGCCAAATTCAGCACCAGCTCCTCAGATCAATCCTTTGCCTCCTTTGATGATCAGCAGAAGACGTGGTTTACCGAGAGCCAGCAGGAAGACAGGAAAAACGATGTGAGTGCAGGTGTCAGTGAGAAGGACGAGAAGAACACGATGGGGAAAAATGAGCCACAGCACTGTGCCTTAAGTAATGGGCACCCACGCGTAGGAGAGCACAGTCAGGGGGAAGCGCTAGGGGGAGAAAGGGAAACGGTGTCTGGAGGGAGATCCAGGAAGGCATCAACAGAGGAAGTGAATTTCAGAGGCTCTTGGATCAGGGGAAATCAGGATAAGGCCCTTTTACATGCTACCCCCTCACCGTCTTCTGCAGCAAACAAGCACAGGCTGTTTGCAATCAAAGACAACACGCTCAAGACCACCCCGGTGATAAAACCTGTCATCCTGCCCCTCCTGAGGACCACGTCCTCAGAGGAGTCACTCAGTGGTGGCCACAAAGAGGAAGAGGTGGTAAAGCAAAGGTGGGGTGAAGATGCTGGTGGTCTTTGTATCCCCCAAAGCCAGGAAATGCCTGGCACCCCAATATCTGCTAACACACAGGACACACACTTGAAGCACATTGCATGTGAGGACCTGGATGACCCTGGGCAGCACAGTGCAGCCAGGTTGGGGACTTCTGGGCAAATCTTGAAGGGCAACTTCCCATCATCGCTACCAAGGAGAGAGGGGGACAGGATGAAGCTACCCTCAGGTGCAGTACTTGATGTCATGGCAAGCAATAGCAAGAGCAGGTCCACAGACTCGGGGTTGCTGGTTGCTCCACGGAACATCCCCACAGTCACTTTACTCCAGGATGACTTAGAAGAACAGTCACTCTCACAGCCACTTGGCACCTGTTGGGAAGAAGAGACCCAAGGTTTCCAAGGTCAGTTTTTGTCTGCACCTAGAGCAGGGCCACCTGGAAGAAGACTGACCCCTCATGAGATGGTGACGTCCCCCAACCCCAGCTCCCTTGGAGAGAGCAGCGTGTGCTCCCCTGCAGCCAGCAGCCTTTGGGATGATGCTTCCCAGGCCCCTGGGGAACTGGGGCTGTTGCCAGGGGAGCCTCCCAGGCTCACCCGGCGGGAGGACCTGACCCATGGCCTCATGTGGGAAGTAGACAGCTCTGACCCCCAGCTCCAGCCGACATCAGAAGACCTTCGGACTCTCTCTCCAAGAAGCTCGTTTCTGGACATGACCACCAACTTCACAGCCTCCCCTGAGAAACCTGAGCCTCCTGCTCACCTGGAGAGGGCAGCTGGCAAGCCACCTGCAGTCCCACCCAAGACAGAGAAGGCCCTGCGGCGGGCGAAGAAACTGGCCAGCAAGAGAAGGAAGACTGACCAGGCACAGGAGAAGCACGGAGACTCCTGGGAGAATTCACAGTGGACAGAGCAAAGGCCAACATCGCCCAGAGAGAGACCCCGGCCCAGGTTCCCCATGGTCCGCTCCCTGCCCCCTCCCATGCACCGCCACTCAGTGTCTGGCAGCTCAGAGCCTATGAGGAGGCGGTCCTGGGGTCCCCAGCCTCTTACACCCCTGCCCCCTTACCCCTCCACCCAGAAGGTCCTCCAGGATCCCCAGTCTGGGAAATACTTTCTCTTTGACTTGCCACTCCAAGTCAAAATCAAGACCTTCTATGACCCAGAGACAGGCAAGTTCGTCAAGGTCTCTGTCCCATCCTCTGAGGGGGACCCTCCAGAGCCACCCCTGCAGGATGCCCTGGCTGCTCCCTACCTGCTGTACCCTGGCTTCCGGCCTGTGCCAGTGACTGCCTTGATGCCTCTGCGCTGCTCCTCCCAGCTATCTGCCCCTACCTTCCTCAGGCAGGGTCCCCGTGCCAGGCCCCAGAGTGCCCAGGGTACAGGACAGCAGCTAGCCCCAGGGCCTCAGGGCAACTCCATCCAGCACACAGCTGCCCAGCACCCCCATGGGCCTCCCCAGAGCCCAGAGGAGGAGGATGCAGAAGCTCCAGGCCTGAACATCATCTCCACTGATGACCTGGAGGACTTTGCCACCGAAGACAACGAAGACATTTCCTGAGAACTACAGCAGACTTCCTCCAATCCCCCCACAAAAAGAACAAACAAACAGAAAAGCTTACAGCCCCTCCCTCTTTCCCCCAACAAGCATTTCCCTTCTCTACCTTTCCCCAGCACCCCCCCCCACACACACACATGCACTTTGACTCATGCTTAGCCATTTGAGGTCCCTAAAGTCCAAAGGAAAGTGGGAATCCCTATCTTAAGGGCTCCCCTGGGCTCCCTTGTGGCTCAGACCCCTCTGTGCCCCTTCCCAGATCTATTCCACCTCTTTCCTCCTCCTCCAGCCATTCCTGCCCTTCTCTGGCCCTGTACCAGGGTGGGTGTGGCACTGGACACTACCCATTCTAAGAGTTGCTGGGCTCCTGCCCCCTACACTGAAGCCCTAGAAATACTGAGTCCTCCAGTGGGCAAGGAGCACCCCAGCAGGCAGACTCCCCCAACACACCTGCCTGGGGTCAGGCTTGGTATGCAGCAGCAGGCCCCAGGTCACTCAGGTGGAACTAGCTGAGGACCACCCAAGGCAATCGTGCAGAAACAATGTGCATAGAAAGGGTTTTCTTCACCGGAGGAAACTTGTCATTGAGGCTATTTTCTGATAAAGAAAAGGCTACCATTTAAAAAGTGAAACAAGCGTGCCAAAGTGGTTCTGTCCCTAGGACTCCTGCCTTTCTGCTGGCCCTGCAGTGTGGTGCAGAGAGGGGTGGTTCTTGGCTTGTCATGTACTCTCCAGCTTCCCATGGCAGTCACGGGCCACACCTGTCTCCAGCTGACTGCATCTGCAGCCCAGGCCATCTCTAGCCATCAGTGGTGGCCCAGGGAAACTGAGCCAGGCCCTGGCTGCCCCGGTCTTGTGACTCGTTACTATGTCCTGAACTCAAAAGGAGAGTGTGTTTCCTGAGTCTCCAGCCTCTGGGGATTTGGTAAGGGCCCTGCTCATGTGAGACTGTGAGGGTCTGAGGAGGGCATCCACGGCAAGCAGCCATAAGGCAGCCCATCCTTCTAGGGTCCCACCCAGTGGCCTCTGCTGAAGCCTCTTAATTCTCGTTCTGGGGAAAGGTAGGGTCTAAAAGCACCTCCTTACGTAGAAACCTCAAGAGCTGTAAGGACTGTGCTGCCCCAGACCCAGGGGACCATGCATAATGCATCATCCTCGCTCTGTTCACACTGGGGCCATTTCCATGCTGGAGGATGGGGACTGGCTTGGCTCATAAGTGCCAGACTCCTACAAACACAGGACTTTGAGCAATATTCCAGGTCATGATTTGAGTTCAGGATTTTATATGTATCTTCCTAGCAAGTGCAGCTGCACCCAAATATCATTATGAAAACACCCAGCAGGCACCAACACACTCCCCCACCCCCAGATGCCACTGGATTTTGCTACACCTGATAAATCAGTCAGAAGACCAGCCAGGAGCATGGTCACTGTCCCACAAATCTGGTTCTCATGAGTCACTCACTGAAGTGCAAACCAAACAAAGTTTTTGGGATGCTGTCATCAAATCACCTCCAGGATCCTCTCTACTGTCTTCATCTTATTGTAGAAATATGAAACAAAAAATCTCATCTTAAAATTCTCAGAGTCCCCAGAAAAGAATTCCCTAACAAAAGAAGAACCCATCAGTATAACCATTGTTGTAGTAACTGTGTCCCCATGAGGAGAAATACCTTGAGGAATTATTTTGGGGAAGCAATCATCTTCTGTCTTGGAGGCAATGTGGGGAGGGCTATGGATAGAGGCGAAAACCTAAGGATACGTGTTTGGAGGTCAGGGTCAGTTCTCAGTGGATTCAAGACAGGAGCAGAGCTCTGGTAGATTTCAGCATCCACTCACATCAGGGAGCAGGGACGGACTCCTCGCCCCAGCAAGACAGCCCACACTTGCTCACAGCAAAGCATCCACTGTCCTAAATTCAGACAATGCTCCAAGGGAAAAAAGGTAAGAGTCACTACCCAGTAAAAACCAGCTCAGTTGTCAGTGATGTTGTCCTCTTTTAGTTTGTCTCTGGGGGTTGGTAGGGGTCATTTATGCCTCCTTCCTTTTTCCATCTGCCCCTTATTCATTTTTTCCTTCCTTTCTTCCTTCCCTCCCTCCCTCCTTCCTTTTTTTCTTTCCTTCTCCCTCCTTCCTTTCTTCCCTCCTTCCCTTCCCCCCCTTCCTTTTCACTCTCTGCCCCATCCTTCCTCCCTCCCTTCTTTGTTCTCTTTTTCCTTTGTTTCTTTTTCTCCCTCCCTCCCTTTGTCCCTACCTCCTCCTTCCCTTCCTCCCTCCCTGTGGCTATTTAGATAAAAGTAACCAAGAGCTCACATGATGGAGCCAGTGCTGTGTGTTTGCCCCTGAGTGAGGAGCTCTGAGCCTGGTCTTGGTTCTCATAACAAATCTGCAGGAAGTACCTTCATTGGTCTCATTTTACTGTAATGTAAACAAGGGCCCATGCATGGGGTGTAACTGCCAGTCACACAGCTGCTAAGGACTGGCCATGCCAGGAACTCAAGCCTGTCTGTCTCACTTCTAGGTGGATGCTCTTATTCCTCAGCCAGTACTCTGGACATATGGTCCCCAGACCAGTCAAGGAGCTGGCTAGAACCCTAGAATCCCAATCTGCCCTTCCCAAAGTTGCCTGGGAGATGGTTTCATCTGCACATTGAACTCTGTAAAGTGCTGAGCCTGGATAGAAGATTTAGTGGAGGCACATGGCTGTTTTCCTGTCTCCACAGCATTGTCCCACAGCCTGGTCAATGTGAGAACCCCATCTCTGATAACCTGTGCTGCCTACACGTGACATGAGAGGCTGGGAACACTGGCTTCCCACAGCTGAAGTCATCCAATGGAAGCCTTTCTGGGACAGAGATGGGTTTCAGAAATCATAAGAGACCAAACTACAGCTTTCAGTCATCCAGGCTAAGTGTAGGCTTCCAGCAAGAAATGACAAAGGGCCCAAAGTCCAAACAGGTGTGGCCTGTATGTATTTTAAAAATATATTTTAGCCCAGACAACACCATGAAGTTGAACGCAATTGTCTTTATAGGTCTCCCATCATGTAGTTATAAACCCCAAGCTGAGAAGAGAGAACACTGGGCTTTGTCACTAGAGCTTGTCACCTGAGCAGAAGTTTCCTCCCTTCCTTCCACCAGGTGGCGCCCACTCAAAACATGCAATTACTTGAACCCTTGTTAACCAAACATCTCTAGTACCTGCTTGGAACTGACCTTCCAGGAGTTGGAAACAGACTCTATATACAGAATCTTCCAGCGATTCTGATGTACGTAGACTCAAAAGAACCACTCCAGCACAGACACCCATCCCTAGGCCCAACATAGCAGCCAGGCACTCCCTGCCCAGGGGTCTGCCCAGCAGACACCCTTCTGGGGAGGACCAGGAGGAGGAATGGCGCTCCAGGGTGGGAAGAACACAGGGAAGCTGTGGACTGGGAAGGCATGGAGAGGCTCCAGGACCCCCATCAAAGTTGCCAGCCCTGACAGAGCCGAGCCCAGGGTGTGGTCCTGACTCAGCCTGGCCCGTACTGCCACCATCTTCTTTCCCCAGTCACTCCAAGCATGCCCTGATGCTCTGAAGAGAGGCACAGACTGCTCCTCCAGAGGGATGAAGGGGCATTGTTAGGAAGGAGGGCTTCCCGTCCACAGGGGAAGTCCAGAGCTCTGACCAGCACAAGTAGATATTTAAAGGAGCCATGCTGATGACCCTCACTCTCCAACAGGGAGAAAGTCTTTCTGGGTGTATTGGTTCATTTTGTGTTGCTATAACAAAATACCTGACACTATATGCTTTATAAAGAAAATGGAAAAAAAAGAAAATAGATTTATTTGGTCCATGATCCTGGTGTCTCAAAAGTCTAAACAGAATGGCACCACATCCTGACAAGAGTGGTGTGGCTGCACCACAGCATGTATGGAAACCAGCTATGTGCAGAAGGGGCACATGTGCAAAGCAAGAGAACAAAGAGGGACCAGACTTGACCCTCTGAGACAAACACTCTAGGGGAACTAAGCCACTCTTGCAAGGCCCAACCCACTCTTGCAAGACCCAACCCACTCCTGGAGGCCAGCATTAATTTCTACATGGGTGCTTCCCTAGTGATCTCATCACTTCCCACCTCTCAAAGATCCTATTGCCACAGCATCACTGAGGACCAGGCTTCTAGCACATCAACCCTTGGGGGGGTAAACCACATCCAAACCACAGAACTCTCTTTCATTTGCTAAGATATACTTTACTTGGTAATTCTTTTTTACTATCTCAATCTTCAGCCTGTGTGGGCATTGTTTCTCCAGATCCTTTATGCCATTGGTTCTTCTAGATCCAGGCATGACCCCCATCTCTCATGTGCATTCTTCCTGTGTATTAGAGCCTTTCTGTCTACCTTCAGGATAATGTCTCTGCAGTGACACCATTACCACCTGCCTTCCTGTCTTCTGTGGCCATTGCTATATTTTCCTCTGAATTTGGAAACTTCGGACTGATGTGCTCTTCTTTCTTGTTCACAAATCTCAGAGTTCATGCATGGTCTTCCTTAGTAGTCCTGTACTTTCACCAGCCCATTCTTCCTCAGTGATCAAAACTGAATGTGTCAGCAAGCCCAGTCACGAGTTAATCCAGTGGTCAACTTCCAGCCATCTCCAGCCAACATTGGCCTAGGGCCAGCCCTGTGGCTGTTCCTCTTTCATGTGTGGCATTAGGAAAGCCCCACTGCATGGAGCAATGTGATCTCAGTGGGGCTCCAGTCTGGCCTACCCCAGCCAGCACTGTCCAGCATGCTGGTTTTCCAGAAGGTGGATTCTAATTGAAACCTTTTGACCAATGCTCAACATCACTAGTCAGTAAGGAAATGCAAATCAAAACCACCCGTTAGGATAACTATTATCAAAAGCACAACAAAATACAAAAATAACAGTTGCTGATGAGGATGCAGAGAAATTGGAACCCTTACGCACCATTGGTGAGAATGTAAAATGGTGTTATGGTTTGGACCCAAAATGTCCCCCAAAGGCCATGTGCTTGGTCTCTGGCCTGGGGTACCATTGGGAGGTGAGTCAACATTTAGGAGGTAGGACAAGTTGGAGGAAATAGGTCATGGTGGGTGTGCCTTTGAAGGAGATATTAGTATCCTGGCTTCTCTCTCTTTCTTTTTTTCTTCCTGGCCTCCATGAGGTAGGCAGCCTCCCCTGTCACACACTCCCCTTACCGTGATGTTCAGCCTCATCACAGTCCTGAAAGCAATGGAGCCAGGTGAACATGGACTGAGACCATGAGCCAAAATAAACTTTTCTTCTCTTTAAACAGTTTCTCTCTGTTATTTTAACACAGCAACAAAAAGCTGACTAGCACAAATGGTGAGGCTGCTATCGAAAACAATTTGACAGTTCTTCCTCAAGTTAAACGTAGAATTATTATGTGATCCAGCAAACCTACATCTGAGTATATGCACCAAAAAAATGAAAGCACCGGGCACTGGTGGCTCACACCTGTAATTCTAGCTACTCAGGAAGCACAAATCAGGAGGATTGCAGTTCGAAGCCAGCCAGGAAAATAGTTTCACAAGACCCTATCTTGGAAAAAACCCTTCACATAAAAGGGCTGGTGGAGTGGTTCAAGGTGTAGGCCCTGAGTTCAAACCCAAGTACCACAAAAAAAAAAAAAAAGGCAGGCACTCAAACAGATGTTTGTCCATCCATGTTCATAATGCTATTCACTGTAGCCAAAAGGTGACACAACTCAAATGTCCATCACTGGAGGGACAGATACACAAAATACAGCAATCTGTCAGTGGAATGGATTTCAACCTTAAAAGAGGAGGAAATGTCAGTACATGTACAACTTGGATAAACCTTGAGGATATTATATCAATTAAATAAACCAATCACAAAAGGACAAATACACATGATTCCACCTACACAAGAAATTAGAACAGTTAAATTCATAGAGAAAGTAGAATGGTGGTTGCCAGAGGCCAGAGGAGGGGTAAATGGGGAGTTGTTGTTTAATAGGTAGAGTTTCAGTTGGGGAAGATGAAAACGGCCTGGAGATGGATGGTGATGGATGTACTTAAGTCATTTAATGTGCAGTAAAATATGGTTAAAATTATAAATTTTAGATTATGTATACTTTACCACAATGTTTAAACACAAACAAACCAAAAAAGCTTTTTGCATTGTGTGTTCCATCCCATTCACCCACATGAAACATCCCAGCACACACTGGAACCTAAAAAAAGCAGTCCTTCCCCTCTTTGGTTCTTCCTCTCCATTGCTCCTGCAGACAAAGGAGCAACAGACAAAGAAGGTCAGGATTGCAACGCTGAGGGAAGAGAGCCTGCTCAGTGCCACATTCTTGTGTGTGTGAGGGTGCAGGCAAAAAATGGATGAAGAAGAAGGTCCAGGGTTCTACCCCTGCCTCCAAGCCAGGTCCTTATCTTCCTGCCCACCATGTTCAGCAACTGCACTGCCTGGTGGTCCAAGCTGCTTCCTGGACACCATTCCCACTGCTCCCAATCTTTGGCTCCCAATTCAATCCAACCCCAAACCAGTCAATTCTACTTTCAGGCATACTTATCCATCTGCATCTCGCCATCATTCTTCATCCCAGTTGCTCTCAAAGACTTCTCACTGCCTCCATTCCTAATTTGGCCCTTTTCTAAACTGTTCCTGCAAGTAGTCCATGGTCCTGACTAACACCAGTCTGATCCTGAAACTGTCAAAATGTTTCTGTTTACCACAGGAAAGAGCCAAGTTCCAGAGTACAAAGTCACTATGCACTGGGACCTGTCCCTCTGAGCCTAATCACCTGCCCATTCCTATAGCTGCCAGATACCTCAGCTATCCTGCCTTGCTGTCCCAGCTATCTCTGGGCTGGCCACATCCTCTGCACATGTTCCTCCTTTTTGTAGCTGGGTTAATACATATCCATATGCCTTTGACCTCTCCATCGTGGAAAAATACCACACCACTCCCAAGATCCACCCTCCTCAAGTCTCCAACTGCCATGAAGGCAGGCCACATTCCTAGGTCACTCAGCTATAAAGAAGTTCCACCAGCCCCTCTAGAAAGATGGCATGGTGAGGCCTTGAGACCATGTTCAGACAGAGGGAGAGACACTTGGCCTTCTATCTAGCAC